CCCCCCCCCCCCCCCCCCCCTTCGATGCCTGCCATGAAGCCTGTTCACAGGGGCACGTTACCTCTTTTTGCTGATGGTGATTTTGACAAATGCTCACATAATTATTGCAGCTCATTGTACTACCCCTGATCCCCAGGGGGGGGGGGGGAGGGGGATACCCAACAAAGTTTTACAAGGGAAGGCTCCGCCCCAGGTCTAGCCCCTTACCCTTTTAAACCATATTTGAAAATATACTCCTTTCGTATACCTTTAATTGACAAATGGCACCCCTTTCACATACCTCGTTTAGACGTTTGCATCCCTTTTAACTGTTGCAAATGCACTGTCCTTTAACTCATTCACTCCTGGGACTTTTACGCATGACAACCCCCCCAATTCCCTGGCAGTTTTTGGTAGAAAATAAGCACACGCAAGTGCCTAAAATAAACCATGTGCCCAGTAAACCAGAGATAAACTCTGGCTTTCAAACAAACTTTTTCTTTTAGATGAGTTAATGGGCAGCCAGGGTATGTAAAAATAATGTCAATTTGAGAAAGAAAAAGCTGTGGAATGTGAATAAATAATATATTGTTTACAGACATGCGACTGGAAATTAAATGTCTATTGCAGAAATGCTACTTTTCCTTTTTAGCAAAATCAAGTTACTGGGTACACACCTTTTAGGCTTATATACAAAGCCTTTAAAACTTTAAAATAAAGTCTGACCGTTTGTTTTACCTCATGTGTTATACCAGGAAGGCGAAGAAGAATATCACCAAAGAGGGCTGTGTTCTCTAAGACATTTGCCAGAGCTGTTAAAAAGATGGGTACATTGTATTCTTTGTCAAAGACAGTAAACTAGTCAAGATGAGGATACACGTAAAGCATGCAATTCCCCTCAACTTGAAATTTTTCTGCTACTTCAACCTAAGCTCAATAAATTTGCTCAGCTGTAAAACAATAACTCCAAAGTACTGTTAGCTGGATCATTCAAAAACTACCTTCTGCACAACAGTTGTGTTCAAAAATAAAAGCTTTCACTACATTATATACTATTTTAACTACACCAGCCATCAATAGACCACTTGCACCGACCAATGCTTCCTTTAGATCATGGGTTGGAATGACTTGCTGATACCAAAAATTGACATTAAAAAAATCACATTAAAAATTATCACCCCAAATTTGAGAGGAAACACATTTAGGAGAGATATTTTATGGCACCCTGATGTTTTTCAACAAAAAAAATAATATGATTTGTACTGGCTGCCATGTTGGACGGCATACTCTCTCCAACATGGCAGCCAAAACTACTTTTTGCTTGTATCTTAATAATTTATTGTTATAAACATTTATCACATCATCTTTTCAACGTTTGAAATACTTGAAGTTTAAGTGCAAAATTTGTGTTCAGAAAGAGGAAACTCATAATTTTTATAATCACTTTTTAGTTACACAATTGACCAGCTATGCAGACATTTACTCATTTTTAAGAAAATGGTGTGGGTTTAAAAAACCAAATCACTATTATTTTGTTTAAAATATGACCCACTAATCGTGGTTTTTCAGAGGCAAATTCATACAGCTTTCATATTTTTTTGACACATGACCTCTTTAACAGTACAAAATGATCTATAATAACACAAGTCACCGTCCAGTTGTGCTTGTTCTGTGGGAAATGCTTGTCCTGGGATATATCCTGACTCTGTTACTTTGACTCTTGCATCCTGTAAAACCTGTGAATCAAAAAACTCCAGTTCATATTTAGACTTGTAGTCTAAAATGAAATTTGTGCTGTGTTTTGGGCAAATTCACAAACAAATTATCCTAGATACATTTTCTTAGAGAATTAGTCAGCAGAATTTGATAAAAGATCAAAACATTA